AAGAAATTTTTTTTTCCCTACCCAGTAAATTGTGCATGCTTGTTTTATTTAAATTTGTTTAATGATTTTTATTTTATCATCATAGTAGTACATCGGTTTGAACTATAATCATAATGATTATTTGGAGATCGTGAGATGCGGCCTGGTGTGACGTAGGTTTTTAGAAAAATATTTTCTTTATCGTGCCAACTTTATCGTTTCGATCTTTATTGAGATCATCTTCAGGGCCTGGGATTTATAAACATTGTTTAAATTTAACAAATACAAGTAGGATGTGGAAAAAAATGAATTTTTACAATGCTAGAAATTTTAGATTTAATCAAAGTATTTGTACTCACTCAAAACATAAAGCATCAATATCTCACTGACACTCTCAACACGACACACAAAAATGACACATCTACCAGAAAACAAATACTTAGAGAAGATGATCCCAAGATCTTCAATCCTGAAGGTGATCTCAATAAAGATCGAAACGTTGGGACGATAAAGAAAATGTATTTCTAAAAACCTACTTCACACCTGACCGCATCTCACGATCTCCAAATAATCATTGGCTAACGGTCACTAAACACCACACATATAATCATAATCCTACAAGAATGGTAACAATCTCTTTTCGAGATCACGATGATCAACGTTCTAATCAAACAACATTATTTATACAAACATGTTAAATCATTTCATGTCAAGTCACCCTCAGAAAGCTCAATCGGATTTTGGAAAACGCTTGTGATTACCAGACTTCGCTGGAATATGCACTCCAAATGCTATTGCGACTCCACTGACATTTACATACCATTAAACTCTTGGCTTAAGGGGCGCATTCACAACGATGGCTGGATGGAATATAAATTTATTGATGCGCCTCAAATGGGAACTATTGTTTTAGCCTAGGAATTGTACACACCTGGAGTTCATTAATATAACATCCTAGAAAAAAACTATTGTATGGACTTTTTCAACATTTATATTATATATAAAATAAATGACAACTCTATTACAATAGGTTCGGTTTACAACTAATAATTATTGTTATCAGCTTATATAAAATAGAAGAATTCGAGTGAAGAACACAATATCCTAGAATTGCTTTTAGCCCCACCATCAATATAGAAGAAGTATGATTTCAGGAAAAACATGGAAATGGGTCGTAACATACGGACTCCGTTGTGCATTTGCCTCTGTCGCGGCGAGTTATCTACCAAAAAATTTTATTTTCTTATCGTTTTTATTTGATTTTTGGCAATATTTTAGACTGTTTGACCAGCTCCTAGTTTCGGGTTTACCGTTTCACTTTGAATTGAAAGATTGTTAAATACCAATAATGAAGAATTCATAAAAAAATATGAAAGCATAATAACGAATTTTGGGTGCGTGTGCGTTGATTGAAAATCACAAGAAAATCGCGATTCCTTTTAAAAATTTTGTTAATTGTGATATGGGAAGGACAAGTTTTATTGTAAGTTTACAGTGTAATAATAGTCATTTAGGCCAGAAAGAACAAAGCAAGCACCTATTTTTTAATAAATTATTTATTTGCAGCCTATACATATCAAAATATATATTACAAATACATATGTGTATGTTTTTTTTCTCCCAGTCCAAACACTTGCACCCGGAGGACTCATCCTAAGAGAAACCAGCAGATGCACTCAATATGAGGAATTAATAAAGGGTGTGGAAGTCTCATTACTTAAGGGCCTCCTGGATGGTTCTCAGGATGGAAAGTTTATTTAAGACATGGACAATAGGATTAGGATGGATCATCTCGGTGTGGAACTTGTGGAAGCGCGATCATATCATTGACAAAAGGATTGTTGAGGTCATTGTAGATAGAGAGGAGTGACAGGAAGAATTGGATATGCTGGATATTGGATGGCTTGGCGGAACCCCACAGTTCCACTCCATAAATAAAAAGTGGTCGCTGTTATACCTTGTATAGAGTTAGTTGAAGGTCAAAACAGATTTCGGTCCTAAAATTGTTCGTAGTTGTCCATGTCTTCTGTTAGTTGGCTTGTGTGGGATTCCTTATCAGTGCTGTCTAGGTATATGCCTTAAGCAAATGTCATGACTCACTTAACAAGACTGTTTTTTCGATTTTTAACTAGGTACATTTTTCCTCTTTCAGTTTTGTCCTCCACTGTTCACAGCAGTCTTTGATAAACCAGGTGTTCTTGGATGTTGGGGGTTGCTTGGATGGGATTTGGGTTAGAAGAAAAAATAGCAGTGTCTTCTAGGTAGATGGTGTTGGGATTGTAGGAAAGTCAGCAGTACATACGGATAGCCAGATGGATCCAAGAATGCTCCCTTATGGGACACCAGCTTGTATTGCTCTGGTATCTGAGTATTCATTGCCTCATCTCACACTGATGCAGCAGTCAGGTTAACATGATTCCAGGAAAAGGTAATAAGGGGGTGGATAGGAAGCGTTTAAGTTTTATAAAGGATGCCTGGGTGCCATAACCAAAAAACGCCTTTGCTACATCCAGAAACACACCCAAACGATAGTGTTTACTGGAAGACATGAGTCATGACTGTAAATGATGTAAACTTACTTGTTGAGAAAGAATGTCTGTATGAAACTAGAATGGAATTTTAAAGTTTAAAAATTTGTCATTTGAGAATTTTTGACATCCCAAGAAGGCTGAAGAGGATATATAAACTTTGAGAATGAGAATGACTACAAAATACTTTTATAAGAGAGGAAAGTAAGTGGTGTGTAGGATGTCATAATTATGGTTAATATTACTATGGCCTTCTGAGGTTTCAATGTATCGTGCAGATAACGGTTCTCATAAAAACAAAAATTAAATGTGTATACTATGTTTGCAAATATAATATAATAGTGATAGGCTACATCTGATACTGGGACAAAACCTTTGTACATGTACTGTTTTAGAGAGCGGTCATAGTGTTTCAGATTCAACCGGACAGTGCTGCCATGCCTCAGTTCACTGCCTTACAAAGAGCGACGTAGTTTTCCACCCAACACAGACAGCTCTCTGCAAGACAGTCAATATTAGGTCCACAGTTTCAGGTCTTAAAGGTGTTTCCACACATATAGTTGTGTATTGTTTATGATAAATAGCATTGGCCACACTTTTTGAAAAACAACAACTTTTATTTCTACAAAATACAAATACTATTGGGTTGTCCGGAAAATAATGCAGGATTTTAAGTTTTCATTAAAAAAAATCTATATAAAATATTCTGTTTACGTTTACAGGATTACTCATTTGTATGAATNTTTGATTAAAGAACATTGCTTTAAAGTAACTAGTTTCTTTTTTTTTGTTTAATACCAAAATCCTGCATTATTTTCCGGACAACCCAATAAAAATAGAAAAAAAAACTTTCTAGAAATGTGTGGTATTTAGTGACCATTAATTAATGATTATTTAGAGATCGTACAAATAATCATTTCTAGAAATGGTTAACCTTACACATATTCATACAGTACTTACACGCACTCGGCCATAGCTACACCATCATAAAGCATATACAGTATACACTATTAAACGCAGTGTGATAGGTATTCTAGGTCTAGATTAGAAATCTTTGAAGGAGAGGACATCACCAAATCACTCCCCCGAGATTAAATGGTCCAAAATCTTGGGGTTTGTGAACAGGTCCAAGAGATTTATGCAGGAAACGTGAGCTGACCAAGTCCCAGACCTTTTAGGGATGGGGTACGAGAATACCCAGGCATTTATTAACCCTTTGGGTCTTGGTCGCTACCGTGCATAATATATATATACACTACAATTAATTAAGGTTTTTAGTTGAGATAAAGTCAATGGCACAAGCACGACTCAAACCCACCATCTTCGGCTAGATACGTCGCTGCTCTACCACTTGAGCTATCGTGACCTCGATCCACTCGGACACCAACTTCCCACCTCAACCAAACCTTTCGAATTTTCCCTCTTTTTTGCCATTTTTCAAATGTCGTGTAATCGGGTTGGATTCTCAACGACAAATGAAATGGCCACGGAGAGCTTTAGTGAAGTATACTTCAATTTTAATCATTAAATTCACTAATTTCGTGGTCCACTTGACCAATTAATATATTAAATTGATTATTATTATGATTAATTATATTAATAATAAATAATAATAATTATATTAATATATGATAATTATATTAATTATTGTTTCAACAAATTTTTTATTGTTATAGAGTCCAATCCGATTACACATTTGAAAAATGGCAAAAAGGAGGGAAAATTCAAAAGATGCAGTTGAGATGGGAAGTTGGTGTCCAAGGTCACGATAGCTCGAGTGGTAGAGCAGCAGCGTATCAAGCCGAAGATCGTGGGTTCGAATCCCGCTCGTGCCATTGATTTTTTTATCTCAACTAAAAACTTAATTAATTGTAATATATTAATTGGTCAAAAGGACCACAAAATTAGAGAATTATATATACACTATTGAACTTGATTTTTATATTTCCCTTTCCTTCCTTTCAACTAAAATAACTTCATTTCCAATATTATTAACTGTGCCTATTGAATAAACCTTGAATCAGAAATCCAATTCAGAAAATTCCCATTCTCAACTTCCTTTGAGTACAATCACTTATGATCAAAGAAAATTCCTCATATTTACCACATTCCCCACAACTTTCACAATCATAAAAACAGCAGAATACAAATTCATGTTTCACAATTTCGTACAAAACAAACATAACACTACAAGAATAGCATTACACTATGAGAAAATGAAATATTTGGTTCAAATTTCGTATTATTTAAATCTGTATGTATAATTATTTTTCCCAATCAACATGTTTGTGATATACCCAGGCCCTGAAGAAGACCCGAACAAAGGTCAAACAGCAAAAAGATGAAACAATGGTGTTCGACTAAAAAACCTCACTCCTAACCACTCTTCACTACTTAACAAATTATTGAACAACCGGTCATTAAATAACAAACATTAGAAATTTTGTAGAAATGAATACAGAATTTGTGAACAAAGGAAATAAAACACAAAGCCTTGGGTAACCTCAAGAAGGTGTTTTTTTATTTATAATAAAAACTTATTTTTGGGGACCACTGTGAGCCGAAGATTTGGAATCACGCATAGATGCAGACCTGCGGCGTTTTAATTCTTCCTGGCGCCTGGCTTTGGCCTCCTTTTGACGTTGAGCCAAAAGTTTGGCATAGTCACGGACTTGTTCTTTCCTCTTTTCTGCCCTCCTCTTCTTAAGAGCAATCCTGTGCCTCTTGCGCTGTAAAAAATATACAATATAAATGCCAGGCCAGTGTGTTGAGATTATTTTATTGATAGTTTATTTCAATGTATTAAAGGTACACAAGTGCCGAATTAAAATAAAATAATTCAGCACATATAATCAATAACAATTTGATTTCCCACACGCGTATAACTTGACTGACTATCGAAAACTCAGTAAGTAAATTAATGTGGTCGAACAATGAAAAGAAAAAGAAAATTTATTTGTAAAATTTAAAATTATACCTGCAGAACAACTGGTGTGATCAAGCGTTGAATTTTCGGGGCTTTTAGACGTTGTTTTGTTTGTCCTTCTTTAAGGGGAAGTGGACGTTTGATGACATAATGTCTTACATCATCTTCCTTGGACAAATTGAAGAGCTTACGGATCTTAGAAGCTCTCTTTGGCCCTAGACGACGAGGAACATGGACATCTGTCAACCCCGGAATATCCTAAATTACAAAATTCCTTGTTAGCACACTTTGCTATCAAATTATAATAATATATATTGTTTACCTGCTCTCCTTTTTTAACAATAACTAGAGCAAGAACACTGAGATTTGCATCCACAATACACCCTCGGACAGATTTCCTTTTCCTTTCACCTTGTCTCCTTGGTCTATAGCAGGAATGTCCTTTGGACAGAAGTAAACGTACTCTCCCTGGAAAAAAAGGATTTATAAAAAAAAATAAATAAAAAATTAGTAAAATATCCTTTTTCTAAATAAAAATGAATTCCGAAAACTAGTATGGAACAGCCTCAAGTTAAAATTTAATTGAAATTAATGAAAAAATTAATTTCTAGCAACATACTAAACGTAATACAATGAGATTAAGGTTTAGCTTGATATGTCACCCCCATCTATGATCTTACTAAAATATGTTTGTAAATACAGATGCCTACATGCCAGTTGTAAACCAAATAATTTGTGCTAACATTTTGGTTGAGAGAAAGGAAGGCAGGTAGGACTGATGTGATTTGATAAGTCAAAAGTTTACTTCTAGAGTCACTACCAAAGAAATTTTATGATAAAAATCTTAAAAATTATTATCCCACCTTGGTTTAGAAAGAGAAAACCAAAAGATTATAGTACTTAAAAAAATGTGTGGTGATTAGTGACCGTTAATCGATAATTATTCAGAAATCGTGAGATGCGGTCTGGTGTGATGTAGGTTTCAGAAAAACATCTTTATCATGCCAACGTTTCGATCTTCATTGAGATCATCTTCAGTGCCTGGGATTTACAAGCATTGTTTACATTTAACAAATACATGTGAAAAAAGTGAATTTATACAATGCAAAATATATTTTTTATATTCAATCAAAGTCTTTCTACTCACTCAAAGTGTTTGTCTTCTGTGTAATTGTGCCATTCTTGCGTGTCGTGTAGAGAGTGCCAGTGAGATTTTGCTGTTTCATGTTTATATATGTTGGATTTTGAAGGGGTGGGGAAGGAAGTCTGGACAGAAAGACGTTTTTATATGAGGAGTCGGCTTCTTTGAGGTGAAAAGAGCCGACGAAGGGAAAAAATGTGTTGGTAATGGTTCGGCCAGATTATCCTTTCAGGATTATATAGAAAGGGATAAATAGGAAAAGTAAAGCTAAATTGTTGGACAATTAGATTATGTGAAAGATATTTGATGTGTGGAATGATATATGTATGTTATCTATATTGAATTTGATTAATGATATTGGCGTAGCTGCGACTGAATTTACAAAAACCTGTTCTGTAATTGATGCTGTGTTTATCTCTGTTGATATAAACCATTTCTAAGAAATTACGTTTATGTTTGTTTTGTTCTGTAAGTGATATTTTTGGATTTTTGAAGTCGAAATTGTGTTGATGTTCAAAATGGTGGGTAGCGAGTGCTGTAGGATTTTTCTTGGGTTTTTTGCAATCATCGATATGTTGCTTTACTCTCTTGTCCAGATATTGAGAGTAAGACCGATGTAAGTTGCCGGAGAGTTTAAACAGTTGATCTTGTAGATTACGTCAAATTTATTTGTTATTGGTGTGGGATCTTTAATTTTGGAAAAAAGTGTTTGGAAGGTTTTATAATTTTTGAAAGCTATTTTGAAGTTATCGGACGAGAGAAATGTGTTTAATTTATGGCCTTGAATAAATGGAATGGAAATGTATGCTTGTTTGTTTGTATTTGATATACTTAATGTAGTATTATTAGTAATAGTGGATGGTGTTAGTGTTATCAATCACTGGCACTCTCAACACGACACGCAAGAATGGCACGATTACCCAGAAAAGACAAACACTTTGAGTGAGTAGAAATACTTTGATTGAATAAAAAAAAATATATTTTGCATTGTATAAATTCACTTTTCCACATCCTAAATGTATTTGTTAAATGTAAACAATGTTTGTAAATCCCAGGCCCTGAAGATGATCTCAATAAAAGATCGAAACGTTGGCACGATAAAGAAAATGTTTTCTGAAACGTACATCACACCAAACCGCATCTCACGATTTCTGAATAATTAAAAAAGAAAATTTTTTGTTCTCAAGCCAAAACCTTATACTGAAATGGCATGTTTTTAATGGAAACAATTTCTAGCCCTAAGGAATTGAATAATGCCGAAAAATTGTTACTTGAGCTTCTTCTTACCATTGGTGAGTACACCTTGCTTCATGGGAAAACCTTGGTTGTCATTACCACCAGATATTCTGACAACGTAGCCTTTCCACTCATCACCGAGTTGGTCGGCCTCGACCTCAGCTCCCATCCGCTTGTCATAGAAGATGCGGAGCTTGTGCTCATCCACTATCTCGAACAGTTTCTGGCTACCATTTGCCGGAAAAGAGACGTTCAACTGAAACATAAACAATTATATGTTATGTTATGTTAAACTACAATTAGAATATGAAATACGCAATAACTTATGTCGTACCACAATTATACTGTATCATACCGATTGAATTGAAATTTACTTAAAACATTAATCGAAGAAAATAATTTTAAAGTGGTATTTTCACGTTTGGGAAAATTTAAGTGGTTGTTTTTATTATTCTTAAGGGCGAATTTCTACATAAGGCATGAGGTTTCGGTCAGTTCGGGTAACCTCGATCACCAAAAGTTCATCCAGAATTATTAGAGACATCTTTACGAAATTCCAGCCGGAACTGGATTGTTTAAAACGCAGTCGACGTGTAGAAGTTACTCGACTATTAAAATTGAACTATTTAATCAAATATACTTAAAAAACTTGCCTTCATGTTGTCAGACGAAGTTCCACGCCATGCACATAGAAACTAGAAGGTGTGAGGTTGTCGGATTCACTCGGTTAGCCTACACAGTACAGTAACCACAATAAGGGTTACTTAATAGTTAAAACAATCTGTTTCTTTACTTTATTAAAAGTTTTAAACAACAATGGGCATAAATAATTGTGATTAATATTATTTAAAGACTATTAATAACGACATTAATTTATCAACTCTAAATAATACTTCTGGAAATTTTTCCTAATGATTCCGCTGGAGCGCTACTTAAAGACTACAAAAACAAAGTTAAGGATTTAACTTTGTGCTTTGTACTTTGAAACTCTGTAACTATGGATGGCTAGGGATAGTTAGGGGAACTAGGGTTGGTTCACATATAGTTCTAAAACAAATGACCAGGTATATTTTGTTCGAGTTCAAAAAATGGGTAATGAAACTCATTAGTTAGTACACCTCGGCTTCTCAAGCTGAAAGACATGCTATCAATGATTGTGCCATAAAAATCTTCAAAGGCATTTTACTGACAAAACAGTCCTCATAAGATTAGACTATGTAACCTTAAAAGTCTTAGCTCATAAAAAGGTTGTGAAACAGTCAACAATCCAAAATCTTCAAAACCTGGGAAAACAAAACAATCTGACAATATCTTGGGGGCACAAAGAAATTTTGGAATAATGAAAACAGGCAAACTACCAGAGGAGGATCTGCACGGCCCAGAAATTATACTTGTGATAACAAGATCAAATATACACTATTCAAACTATGTGCGGGTTCACAAAAACCAGAAGGAGAAGTAGAACAATTCCAGTCTCAGTAAACTCACGGTTAAAGAACCCTCACCAAAAGAGGAAGTTGGACATGTAAAACTCAGGGGACTAGGTCCACTGGTCATTGGCATCTGAGAAAATACCTACACAACATATTCAACGATAATCCCATTTGTAGGTTATACAATGAGGAGGAAGAGACTGCCCTATATTATCTTCAAATGCAAAGCAATCACTCAATGGAGATCTAGTTAGATAAAAAAGATATGGGAAAAAGAATCACAGCAATGATAGTCAATGGCCTTAAGAAAAGGATCAAATCAATTGAACTGAAATAAGGAACTAGGAAAAGTACAAAGAGTCAGAAGGCTGCAGTGCTTGTGGAATACAAAATCCTCATCTAGCATTCCCATGTCATCACAATCATCATCTATTAAAATACTAGTTTTCCTAAAATAATGAGTTTTACTTTAATAGATTTAGATTTAAGCTGCTTGAGCCTACTAGGTTATTTAACCAACATCCTTTAAATTAACTGAATTATGAGAAATTCAGTTGATTGCAAAGGAGGCTGCAACATCAGGTCCAACCCTTGACATTAAAATTCCTAAAGATGACGGGAAAAACTTTTTGGAAAAGTTTTGTAGAAATCTGTGGCAAGAAAAATACAACGCATCAAACGTTGTTCCCTGAGCTCAAGAAAAAACCATGGTTTTCGGAAGGCGATAGCCCAGAAGGAATGTCAAAGGATTTTTATTCTACTATTTTTAGACTGAAGACAAATCATGGCCTATGGGGTAGCTACAAGAAGAGAATCGGTTTGGCATCGTCTCCGAACTGTCCCACTTACAATTGCCCTTCAAATCCTTCCCACATAATTTTTGAATGTCCAGAATATGAAAATGAAAGAGACAAACTGTTAAAAAATCTGAGCAAAGTCCCAAATATTTCAAAACCAATAAACTTAGAATCTGTTCTAATAACCAACAACCCATCAGCTTTCAACACAATCTATGGATTTCTAAAGTCCATAAACATTTATTTTTGATTATCTTCAAGCATGAAAATTTAGAAGATGAGAAGATGATGGAGCTGAATGAGTGGTGCGGGCGCGCGGCAGGGACCTGGCCCTGGTCGGCCGATCACGCTCGACAGTAAAATGAAAATAGAAGAAAACTTCATGGGTAATATGCCAGCGTAAACAAAACAAAAAATCTACAATTTATCATCTATAGCCTTTATAAAAGTGTCAGGAAATAAACCAACACTTACTTGTTTTTTGAATTTATTTTTGGATGAATTTGTCACTCTATTATAAATAAGTTTTTTTTTTTAAACGGAAATCATAAAAGAAAACCATTCTGGCTTTCTGGTTAGTTTAAACTTCAAAAGAACTGACATAGGCTTTATTAACTTTGGAATTCTACAGGGGTCCTTATTAGACCCTCTTCTATTTTCCTTGTACATCAGTGATATCTCTTCTGCTTTTATTTCCCTTTCATTCCACCTATGCAGGAGACTATCAATTATGAGCTTAATGTTGCCCGGCTGATCTGTCCTTCTGTATAAATAGTTTTAACCATGAGCTTTTCAAAGATCTGAATAGACCAAAATTTGAAACTTTAATAACATGTTCAGTATTATTGTCAATTTATTGAAGTAGTGAGGAGCAGTCAAGAAGGAGTAGTTTAAAAAAACACCTTTTTTTATTTTGGTTGATGTTTCGACCTTTATTCAGGTCATCTTCAGGGCATAAAGTGAGGTGCTATTTATATGTTATATTATTGTTAATATCCTTATCCTTAGAGGGTGTTGAACTGAAGAATATTGATAATCTAATGGTTAGACAGATTTTTATACAATACCTTATTCCATTAATACCTCTCACACAAGTTTAATATTATGCTCAATATTTATTGAAGATGAGAAATATTTTCAATATTATTTTAGTCCATTTTAGGCATCTCCATATAGGATAATTTAATTTACACATTTCAATATTGGAACCATTAGGAAACTTTATATGTTCTATTGACAGTTAGTTCTTCTGTGTTGCAAAAATATTTTCTATTATATTGAATTGGCCATAACAGTTTAGGTGTTGACACGGCGCTCATCACTGTAAGGCAAAGGTCCCGGGTTCAAATCCAGCAGCCCTGCATTCGAACCTGCCATACTCACAAATGGGCTTTTGACAAAAACACTGGCACCACGAGGGTCCTTATAATCTCGTAGTTGAAATACCAAAAGTACAGAAATGATAATTCATCACCTCAGGGTAATACTGGATCAAAAAACATAAATTTCATTATTGTGATTTTAAAGTTTAGATCTTTAATAAAAATTCAATTCTTGTACAACACATATGTGGTTGTTTACATAAATCTTTGATTTGCTGGGCAAGTAAAATGGGATAAGTCAAGGTGTATGAGGCATAAAGACTTACTGGAATTTGTACTTATTTCATTTGATCAAAATTTAACTTATCCTATTTTGCCCTGAGGGTACAGAATTTAACTGTAAAATGAACACTTTTTTTAAATTGGGATAATTAATTAGCTTGTTATTATTATTATTATTATTATTATTAATTTTTAAGGGCGTTTTAATGGCTAAGGTCATTTCACGCCCTAACCTTCTATCTTAGGTTAGCTTTTGGTATTTTCTGTTGGAATAGTCTTATCTCATTATCAATCCAGTTTTCTTGTCTGTTTTACATACCACAACCCCCTAAACCGTTATGGCCACTGATGCCTTCCCAAATATGATTTTGATGCTGGTACTTACAGAGAACGCAATTGTAGAAAGGCATTAGTTATTTCTTTAATAAGTGGGGTACACTCACAATAGCCTAAACAATACGTGCTATACTTACCAATTTATAAACTAAGCTTAATTTTTGAATTTAACAAAGATGTAAAAATGGATTCACATTTAATAAAAAAAAACACAAGTTATACAATTTAATAATTGAAGTTTTAATAATAGAGAAATTCCAATGAATAAATAATACAATTTTGAATTTTTTTGTTTTGAAATTAGTGTTTAAGGTCTCACAGATAACATTTCAATTAAATGTCTCTTTTTTTGTATATTCTTTTAATCAATCAATTTCTTTATATAGTAATTTTAAAACACATATTTTATGCATAGTTTTTAACAGTCTTCACTTATTGTTTGACACTTTTCACTCTCTTTCTCACAACACTTTTATTTCTGCCAAATAAATACTTAACTATACAATCACAAATATAATTTTTTTTGTTTCTTATTTAAATTGCTACGCAGTGCTATGTTATTTACATTTAATTCAACGTTTTACCATACAATTGAGCATTTATAACATTTGGCACCTTCACAAATAATTAAGAAACAAAACGGCAATACCTTGATGTAGATGTTGAGAAAGGGGGAAATAAATTAATTATATAAATCACATACTAACAACAATCACTAGATGTCTGAAATAAATAGTAAAAAATGACTTAATTAGGTACAATAATAATACTCGATTTGCTACAATGTAAAAACTAAATTATTTCTATTATAGTATGACTTTGAAATATCACATAAATAATATTTGATGCATCATCAAATACATTTCCAGTTAAATAACATTCTTGAGATACTCAGATTTACTATCCGACTACTTACATTAATTTATAATGATTGCATATATTTCTTAGTTATTATTTGAACATAAAAATTAATTAAAATATACCATTAAATTTGTATCATAAAAGCCTACTGGTCCCAGTAGTGCAACATGATTTCCTTTCTTGTAACATGGACAAAATAACAATGGATTTTTGTTTTTGATCAGTCGGTGAATGAAAGAGCCAATATGCATAATCCTCCCACGTAGTTTTTCGATGTCTTACAAATACAATTTTCATGTAGAAAAAATTTTAAAATCTAAAAATATTGTTTTATAAGAAGTTAAAAATATGATTTTATCCCCAATGGAACAATGTATAACATGGCAATGTTTCAAAAATGTTCTCACTTCCTACATCCCGCACAAATTTTGTTTACAATTTAAAAAATGCCCAATAATTAAAAACATTAAAAAAAACCGTTCTAAAAACATTTAAATCTTAATGCAAAATCCAAAATTTTTAACAAAATGTTTGGTTAAAATAAACTTTTTATCTACTGTCTACTGTTGCTTAATAGAACAACTTCATTATGATGAACACTGTTTTCTGTATTCTTATTGTTTATATCATTGTTCTTTAATTTTTTTCACATTCTGAATCGTAGGCATGGGAGAAGTTCAAATTTTTATTTCATAATAAACATTTACACATGTATCAATTTACCTTTAGAAACTACATTTATTAAGTTAGGTATTAAATTGTTTAAAAATGGATTTATGCATGATATATGTTGAAGCGATGCTTCAAACTTAAATCAACATATGAATCTATATATCAGTGTCTTTTTTTTTTTTCTTCAAGGATATTAGCACACCAAGATGATTAAAATATATAAACCATAATAAACAAACACGGGACCATGGAGGCCAAGAATGTTAGGGCACCTGAGTTTCGCTCTTGATATTTAGTCCGATTCCAGCTTTGGATTTTCATCCACATCCAACGTACCGTTGGGACATAAAGACATCCTTATAACAGGATATGCTTTATTTGTCAATACACCATCAGCAAACCAACAAATGTTGCTGATTTTTAATGACATGGAAAAACCTATTGAAAAATTTTGTAGTACACGAAAACACAGTTTGCAAAGATTAGTATTTCATGTTGACTAAATAATTTACAATAATCACAATCAGTACCAACATTTTTATTTTATATGGTACTTAAGATGTCATTTTTTTTTTTTTTTTTTTTTTTTCGGAAATGGGCTTTATAACTTTCAAGAATTGGTTACTCCATCTATTTTAACAATGTTTTAGTTATATAGCTTTTTAGTTTGCAAATTAATTCAGCTTGTTTGAGGAATTCATTTATACATAATTTAACGCACTATTAAGAAATTTTTCTAATTCTCTTTTTTTTACCATTCATCAAAAAACAAATTAACTTTTTTCATTTTGTAGTTACTGAAAAACCAAATATTGAACAATCAAACCTGAATAAATGGCTAGTTGAAAAAATTTAAGAGAAAATACTTTTCTAGCTTGATTTCGTCAAACTTAATCACAGCCAGTAAACATGAATATTGAATTTCACTTACCAACACATAAAAGAAGTTCATTAAAGCAATAAGCGTAATTTTCTAAGTTAACAATAATATTATTAAATAAAAATATACTAACTCTGTTCTAAATTAGGCCTTCAAAATTAATTTAAATGTTTTAAGCCATTTTGTGACAAACTGATGAACAATTTTCAATTAAATGATGGGAAATGTTTATTCGTTAATGTAAAGCTTTAAAATTCTGCGTGTTGAAATTTTTTTAAATAGTACCAACTGGAATCCAATAAGTCAAATAGTTGCCAGGATGTTTTTGCAATTAATAATTTTGTACTTTTGGCAATAAGGAGGTCGCCTCACTGATTCCTTTTTCTGCCCAAATGTTAATCAATCTAACTCAAACAGCAAACTTTTCAAAAATAAATTTTAATGCAGTTGCTTGAGTCATCGTTCTGTCATAACTGTCTGCTAACGAAAAAAAGCTGTGAATGATTTTCAAATGCATTCCCTTGGAGATCTTTTCAGATTTGAAAACCTACAAGTTTTTGAAATCTAACTTAATTTAAAACCAACTTAATTATTATCGGCAAATTGGTTGACCTGACTTGACTAGATCAAAAATATTTTAAAAAGGACATATTCTTTTCCTATTAACTTTTTTTTTTATCGTGATAATAAGAATGACAAACTTCAACAATTTACTCTTCTTCTTCCTCAGATGAAGATGAAGCTGGCATACTGCTGAACCAATTTTCTCTTGCACATGACATAGTCACTCCACTTTGGACTCCATTGCACCTGTGCAAACACATATTTATAGAACAAGTCATAACGACGAGTTATTTTATACTTACCTTTGAGGTTTTCTACACTGAGTCGGAAGTGTAAGTGAGGTTCTGTAGAAGGCTTGTTGATCAGCTTCTTGAGTTCTTCTATGCAAGGTCATCGTTTGAAGATCTTCTTGATATTCTAATCCTCCAGTGAGCTGTTGAGCACTTATATTACAGTTTTCACATTCGCTTCGATAATCATCCAGCTCTTCTATATGACTAACTTGTTCAGAAACACTTCGGCTAACATTAGCTTAAAATTACACAAAATTAGCCTGAATCAACAATCTTTAAAATTAGTAAGTTGACAAAATGGAAAATTACTTGGCTGTGAGATGGTCGCCGGTGGCAACGACAGTTGGACTGGCAACTGCTCTGACAAAGGAGTTACTGTTGGAATAATTGCACCACTGGTGGCTAAATTCACAGGAATTGTTCTATGCTGAGTGTGCAATTGCGATGCCACACTGGGTCCTGTATATTTTCAAAAAAAAAATTAATTTTTAATATAATTGTTATGGGAAATCCAAAATAACTACCTGGTGCTCTTGCTAGAGCTGCTTCAGCTCTTGCAGCAGCAACAGCTTCTTCGTAAGGAGGAGGTGCTTCCCCTCTTGAGTAATAACCACTCCCAGGTGGTTTCCATAAAGGATAGTGAGCAGTAGATTCTTCAAAATGTGGTTCTGGTAAGTACCCTAAACTACCTGCTATATAACCAATACTTCCCAAACTTCTTTCTTCTTCAGTCAACTCCCTATTTTGCCTCCCTTTGGAAAAATAACAGAGTATTTAACAAGTTTTTTGCAATGCAATAACAAATTACCTCTAATTTTTCGCTGTCGCAACCTGTGCAGTAGAAAGACAAGTAATGAAAGTGATAATATTGCAGTAATTGCTGTAGCTATAAGCCGAAGGCCTAAATCTGCATTGAAATCGTGTTCCGAATCATTTTTGCCTAATGTGTCATCTAAGCAAATGAATTCGCAACAGGAATTTCCCACTCTAAATGATTTACAGTCCTAGAGACATATATTTCATTACTGTTTAATAGTTTATTACATTTTGAATAAAATATAAAAAATGATTACTTGTGGAGGGGAGCAAAGGACAGCCTTACACCATTTAGGAGCACCGTTATCACATACGCACAATGTGCAAGCATCTGGCCCTGGTACAAAATGGAGCCCAGGTGAGATCGTTCTTCCATGCAAATCTCTGCAATCCATTGTATGACCATTCTAAAACAATTTAAACATTCCAAGAGTGTGTTAACTGTAAATGTGAAATTATATTTAATTACAGATCATCAATCTTTTTTTTTTAAATAGTAATATGTTGTGTACAATTTCTACATTTTGCCTTAATTTACAGTTTAATAAAGATAATTGTTAATATGTACATAAAAAAGCCTAAATGACTAAAATAACATTAAGTACTAGATGTACCTAATTCAGTGAATTACTGTACATTTTTTTTCATTCAGGAGAAAATACAAGTATACAAGGAGTATATACGATTACTGGTTAAATATTGTCTCTGATCCTTACTGATTTTATCTGTTTAACATTAAAAGGAAACAAATGCTAACATAAAATCAGCATAGAATATACCTAGTGATTTTAGGAATGGAATCCTTCACAAGATATCAGAACGCCCTATTAACAATTATATTTTCAACTGAAGTAATAGCGGTTCTCTTATATCAGGTTTGGAAAAATTTAAGTATTACTTTACTTAAAGCACAATACCACTATTTGTTACATATTTGTGCCAGCCATCGGGTCAAGGTACCTCCCCACAATTGAAGGACTCTGACTCTTTTCTTGGCCAGGTTTAGAGAAGGATGGGCCTGTGATTCAGAATTTGGTTAAATTTTCTTTTTAAATATTTTTTTTTTTTAATAACAAAGCATTAAAGTACGTTAGAAAGCTCCTTTTAATTTGTTTCCGCTTTTCATTTTTGTTTATCCTTTTGGTTTCCAGTTTGGGCTTGGTTGATTTTGGCTAAGCTTTCGGGAGGGGTCTTCCAGATTTGTTTGATTTTTTGGGGAACACCGAGGAAGGCAAATAACTTCCACTATATATTTAGTACAGCATATATAACCACAAGTTAAATATTTTATGATTTTCATTGATTTTATGTTTCAAGTGCCAAAATAAAACAAATGTTAACATAAAATCAGCATAGAATATTTCTAGAGTAATCACAACAATCATAATCACAAGGGATCAAACACCCTAATAACCAAAATAATGTGGTCCTTATATTTGTACTGAATAATTTTAAACCAATACATTACTTAAATTGTTATACTATACTTTAACCAAATACTTAGTGCAGTATATACAACTACAAGTAAAATATTGTCTCTGGTTCTCACTAGTTTGACCTTAAAAAAAAGAAAAATTATAAAAATGGTTAACATAAAATTAGCGTAGAATTCCAGGAGTGGAATCTTTCATCACAAAAGATCAGAAGAACACCCTAATATCCAAATTGAGAGGGGTTCTTTCAGTTTTGGATAACTTTACAAGTGCAATACTATACTTTCCCTACATAAATTGTAATAATGTCTCTAGTTCCCACTGGTTTTGCCTTTCAAATGTCAAAATGAAACCATTATTAGCATATAATATCAATAGAGTTTCTAGGAATGGACTCAGTCAATGTCAAAGAGCTAGAAAACTGAATAACTAAAGCCACAGTTGTATCTTTATTGGGTTTGATTGAAAAAAGGTACGAATAATAAGGCTGCTGTATGAGGATCAAACATTCTACAGTTTATGTCACTTCACAACTGCAAAATTATTGGCAAATACAATTCAAACCTGAACTTTTCTAATGTAACATATATTCTTGTATATACATATACTACACACATAATAAAACAATTTGCCTCTTGACAAGGTTGAATATGAAGGGATTGATGCAAGGTGAAAGATTTCTCTCCCCAGCAGGCAGGATTTGAAACTTCATAAAACAACTTAGTTTTAATCAGTGAAATGTATAATATACGTCAATACATTTATTAAAATGATTTGAAAATATTGGAAAGGGTTGAATTTAATAACAGAAACTAATCCATGAAATGTGAAAATGTTTGGTTTAACTAAAATTAAAGATTAGGAAAGAATTATACCTAAAAGATTAAGAAAAGAAAGATTATACATATCAGCAACCCCCCTCTTAACTATTTTCTGAAGATCATGGGCAAAGCAGAGGCTGAAACATGCCGACTCTATCAGGAGGAACCAGAAACATCGGCACACATCCTTTGTGAACGTGAATTATTAGCCCGTTACAGTACAACACTTTTGTAGAAAATTTCTGACACCAAAGCTCCACAAAGAGGAACCTAGGAAAGTGCTTAGTCTAGGAAAAAGTGCACTTTCCAAGGTATGGCTATAATTTGTAGGGGTTCTACAATAGACAATAGGTCGCAGTGAAGAAAAGGATTTTTAAAATCCTTATTCAACCACCAAACCTCAAAATAACAACAAGAATCATCAAACAACAATCATAAAGCACGATGTACTTCATTTGATATAATTTTTAAACTTAGTTTTACATCATTAAAATGTATATTGTACATCAATACAATGCATTTATTAAAATGACTTTAAAAAATTTGAAAGGGTTGAATTTAATAATAGAAACATAATCCATGATATGTGAAAATGTTTGGTTTAATTAAAATTAAAGATTGAGAGAGAATTATGCCTGAAAGATTGTATAGCATCAGAAATTGATACATAATGATTGAAGAAAAAATATATAAATCAAAGAGAAAAGGACAGATTCCAAGTAGATAATTTATAGGGGTTCCACAGTAGTCCTTCATAGATCGCAGTGAAGAAAAGGATTTTTAAAATCCTCGTTCAACCCCAAACCTCAAAATAACAACAAGAAAACTTCATAAAACAGCTTAGTTTTAATCAGTGAAATGTATATTATACGTCAATACATTTATTAAAATGACTTGAAAATATTGGAAAGGATTGAATTTAATAACAGAAACTAATTCATGAAATGTGAAAATGTTTGGTTTAACTAAAATTAAAGATTAGGAAAGAATTATGCCTAAAAGATTGTACAGCATCAGAAATTGTTACATAATGATTCAATAAATAATATATAAATCATAGAAGAAAGGACAGTTTCCAAGTAAATAATTTATAGAGGTTCCACAATAGACAATAGGTCGCAGAGAAGAAAAGGATTTTTAAAATCCTTATTCAACCCCAAACCTCAAAATAACAACAAGAAAACTTCATAAAACACGATGTACTCCGTTTGATATAATTTTTAAACTTAGTTTTACATCAGTGAAATGTATATTATACATCGTTACAATACATTTATTAAAATGACTTGAAAAAATTGGAAATGGTTGAATTTAATAACATAAACATAATCCACGAAATATGAAAATGTTTGGTATAACTAAAATTAAAGATTAAGAGAGAATTATGCCTGAAAGATTGTATAGCATCAGAAATTGTTACATAATAATTCACTAAATGATATATAAATCAAAGAAGAAAGTAAATTTCTATCAATTGAATAATGTAATTTTTTTAATTCAAGATTAACAATTATATGTTTGGCCTCATCACTTTAATATTTCCAATATTCATTTGTCGAATGAATTTTTATAAGTATTATTGCTAATAAAAAATAAGTTATTAGGGATGTAAAGTTGTTTTTAGTAGAATCTGTTTTGTTTATAAACAAAGAACATAATAATAGAGGAATTTGAAATTATTGGTTGCATCGTTTAAATTTTGGTGTAAATTAATGACATTGGTTAAGGTACAAAGTGATAAATGTTAACTTACTATTCGTCATCAGAGACGAAACAATGACGAAACACCTGAAACTCAACCTCGGCCGAGGTCATTGTCGATATTACCGCATCGTTGGGTCGAATTTCCTAATTTGACAAACTACCGTTTGAGCAAAAAAACACCCTCCAAGGCGTTAATTTACGTAAAATAAAACATAAAAAATAATATTCCAATTCAAACTAATGGTTAATCATCGATCGATGGTAAACATGGCCGGCCGGGGGGATGATTATGAAGATGCCAGACTCGAAAACTACCCCTGACCGACGCAGAACTTAGGGGATGAAAGCGTTCAAATCAGACGATGTCTTTGTTTTTATATCAGGCAGAGTTAAATGGAAGGACGCTTTGTGAAGAATATTGTGCTTTGTCAATTTTTTTTAATTTTAGCTTATTTAAGCTTTAAAATTTTATACAAATAAAAAATTACAATCTAGCATCCCCTAAACTGAGCGCCACTTTCGAACCCCGATCATTACACGATTCCTACAAAATTCTTTACAGATGTATCCACTGCAGTAATTTACGAATAGTCAAACCCGAAAATAATAATTTTCATTGAATATAAAACTTTTATGGAACTTTTGCAAAGGATGGTTTTACCTACTACAAATTGGTTAAACTCAATTTGTGAGTAGAACCAAACTTTTCAAAAAGAGAATTGACATACTCACCCCATTTCAATTATTTATATTAATTTTCTAGTCAAAGCATTTAATGGATTATAACACAATTAATAACAAACACTACCTTTTCTTACTTAAAATCATCTGGTAAACAAGAACTTTAGAAACTTAAATTAAGACTTTCATGCTCAAAAATCAACAAACACATTCAAAAAATCCGAAAATTTCACAGTTGTGAAAATCTCAGATGATATTTACCTAGGTATTGGTCATTATAAGTGTAATATGTCATCGATTAAATACTAAGTTTTCCTAAAATATTGAGTTTTAATTTAGTAGATTTAGATTTAAGCTGCTTGAGCCTACTAGGTTACTTAACCAACATATTTTAAGTACTAACTGGATTATGAGAAAAATCTACATTTTCTCATCTAGTCTTTAAAAAGCATCAGGAACTAAACCAACACCTACTTGTTTTTTAAATTTATTTTGTGATGAATTTATTCTATTATAAATAAGTTTGTCATACTCATTCTTTAAAGTGGAAATCATAACTGAAAACCGATCTCGTTTTGTAGTTAATTTAAACTTCAAAAGAACTGACATAGGCTTTATTAATTTTGTAGTTTTACAGAGGTCCATATTAGACCCTCTTCTATTTTCCATGTACATCAGTGATATATCGTCTGTTTTTATTTCCCTTTCATTCCACCTATGCAGGAGACTGTCAATCATGTGCCTACTGCTGTCTGGCTTATCTGTCCCTTTGTATTAATAGTTTTAACAGTGAACTTCTTCAAACATCTGAATGGATTAAATTTTGAGACTTTAAAGATCATATAAATCCTCAGGGTGCCGGTGTTTTTGAAAAAAAAGCTCATTTGGGAGTATGTCCGGTTCAAATACAGGATGCAGGGCCACTGGATTCGAACCCAGGACCTTTACCTTACAGTGATGAGCATCGTAATAAATGTACTATTATTGTTGCAATGTATTTGGCTCTGTAAATCACAATTTACTTTTTTGAAAACTGATGCATCTTTTTGGTTTTTCTTCTACTGCTACTAATCTCATCTCCTTCTACCTGATAGAACTCGGAGAGTTAAAGCCTCAAATTATATTAGCTTAGATATTGTATGTCTTCTCTTCACTAACAGTCTAAAGATTTTTAAACTTGCCTTGTTTTTAAACGTAAAAATTGTCCTTCAGTTTTTCAAATATTACCCATGAAAAGGTGTTAGAAGTTATTCTTTCAATTAAATCAAATGCTACAGGTTCCAATATTATTCCTATTAAACTCATAATTGTTTCCCTTCATTTTACTTTAAAATACATAACTGACATTTTGAACTTCTCTTTTTCCTCATCCTGCTTTCCTTCAGCCTGGACCGAAGTTCGAATGGTTTCTTTACACAAGAAACCTTAACCCACCCTTGCTAGTGATTATCGCTCTATTACTATTCCTTCATCTCTAACTAAAACATTTGAGAAGATTTTATTTAAACAAATATGTTTAATATGATTTTTTCATTCCATTTGGCTCAATAAATCATAACTTGCTTATTTGGAAACTGGCACATTTTTGGGATTTCTCTTCTATTGCTACTTCTCATCTCCTCCTGTCTGACAGAACTGAGTTAAAGCTTCAAATTTTATCTCATCTTCTATCTAAATTTCAGCTGGTGTACCCCAAGGTTCTATTCTTGGAACTTTATTCTTTTCCATGTTCCTAAATGTTGTTATTGCTATTATTATTTTATTATATTTATAAAACTAAATTTATTTCTAAAATATGTACATATAAGGGCCTTAATTAAAGCCCTATTTGTAGCTTTAAAATAAAATAAATAAATAATTTATTATTTAAATTATACAGTCAAAGAGGTAAGGTAGGTAGATTGAGATAAATTCATTGTGATACATGCTCGATAGTTAAAGTTATCATCATAAAAGCAATCATCAGAATGACATCTTTAGCAGAGAAGACAGGAATATAATTTAGACTTTTGACTTAATTACAGAAATTAAGATTCACATTTATTAGGATTGATCTGATTAAAAAGCTTGTCTTTGGTCATTTGAGCCATTAGTGAATTAATTTGATTGTGGTTTTGCAACTGTCTTTGGTACCTTTAAGAAGTTTGTCTTCTGTTCTTTTTTCATGAGGATCTGTGCCACCTCCTCCCACCCATCCCTAAAGCCCCTTTGGACTGTTCTGGTTTTTCATAGATACAATATCTGCCCTGTATGTCGTCAGCATTTGTGAGAAGACTGGTGGAGCTTAGCATGTAAACCCAGTACTTGATCTAAAGGGAATCGAGGAGATGATGGTCAAGTGATCTCTTGAAGGTAAGACACTTCCAAAGAATAATATTGTTTGCAGTGCACTCTGAAATCTTCTATCTTGTTCAAAGTGTTTGTGTGATATTCAGAAGGGTCTTCATTCTTGCTTATATCCGTCAGGGTAAGTTTTAAATGCATCCAGGCATACTTTTCCAGCTGAATGTTCCTCACTGGGTCGATTATGATACCTACAAAAGGTTCTTGGAAATTTTGATCCTGAGTGGAAATGTCAACCAACAGCTGTAGCCAGGATGACTGCGGTACCAGCCGATCGCATTCTCTAAACATCCAACTTGCTTCGCAGATTCTATGTAAGGTGCCATATTTTTGAGGTTGAGAGTTGACTTTTGTTTCAGTACCCTCGACCGGGAGGGCAGGAGGGCAAAAGAATCTATTGTAAGCATTGTGTTGGTGTCAACCTTCCCCAGGAGAAGGCTCATGATCTCCAACTTGATTTGGTATGCTTGTATATTTCTTAGATCAGGCAAAAACAAAACCAATGATCCTTCTGATCCTTGCCTTTTTCATAAGACAGCAGCAGTCAAGGACAGTGAGAGTATGTTGCCTGAGTTTATAAAGGAGTTTATGGAAAAAACTCTGAAGCATTTAGGTTATGTTCTAGGTTATGTTATGAATGAATTTGACTTTGCAGTCAAATCACATGTTGACCTAAAATATGGTGTCTGTTTAACAAGGGTAATGTAAATAATTTTGAAGACAACACTCTTTGTAAAAGACTGAGGACACCTGCAATTTCAAGGCTTCAGAAAATTCATAATGTAAAGGTGGCTTTAGATGCACTGAAAGAAGGCTTTGAAATAGATGCTAATGATATCGTTAATGCACATAAAGAGCAAATCATGTACTTTTTGTGACAAATACTCCACAAAGTCTTGGCTCCATGTTATGAATCAGCAGCTAGAAGTATGTAACATCAGTGAAAATGATTCTTTATCAATTTAATACCATTTCAAGAACTACCTGCAGATCTCAATCATGCTAGGAAATTTTTCATCTGATTGTGAAAATTCTTCTTAATACTTCTCTTTAAAACTAACTTTAACAAAATAAATTAAAGTAATAAGAATGGAAAGTTTAACTTTTTAAGTATATCAAATTATTAAAATTGCCTTAAAAACGTTTATCTAAAGGATTATAAGCAAAAAGGGGTAAAATTCAAGAAATGTTGATAACAATGTTTTCGTTCTAATGTATTATTAATTTAATATAACAATACAGTTTAAAAATCAATTTTTATATATCTGCATCATGACTGATCTAAATCGATTCGGAAAAATAAATGTAACTCAATTAAATTCTATGTAAAATGTAGTAACTGCATGATATACTTAGAGCATTCTTAAAATTTATAAGAAATTTATTTAAAAAGCAAAGTACACCTGAGTCTACAAATAATGAACATTAACTTGTTACAGGGTTATTATTATTATTTTGGAATGTTTATTTTTTTCTTGTTTTAATTTCTACAATTGAATATGCAGATTGTTACATACCTACAAATATTTTCAAATTGAATTTTAAAGCCAATTTTTTTAATATTTCATACAAAAATTACATTCAACCTTTCTAAATTTACAGCTAGGATCCCACAATACAAAAAATACCTCCATTGCACTCACTGTATGCTTTATCACAAATTTTATATGCTAACCACAACACAATATAATATTTTACGAACAAATCAATTGCTGTTACATCATTGTGTTGTAACTAGTAATGATTAAAGTCGCCATATTCCTTAATAAATAATATAAATAAAATGGCTTAATAAAAGTAAATTATATCAATTCTATTTACATAATTAACTTAACAAAACATCTTAAAAATAATTTACTTGAACAAATAGAAAAGTAACAATAACAAATAACAATAAAATGATATGTAACATAGCAGTTTCAAATAAATTTACATGAATTTCCATTTATTCTTCTACATGTTTGCCCAGTCTACTAATTACTTTTCACCTTATGTACAATTCTATTTTAAATAATTATCTACTGTAATAAAATATAGGTAGTTTCTTAATAACAACTAAGTAGAGCATTTTGGTTTACTTTTATTATCAATTTATTTAAAATTGAGTTGTCTAGTTGGGTTTATGAAATAGCCGAGGGCATTTAGAATTACATATTTGTTTATATGATTCACATGGGTTTTTATCATTTAAACAATAAAAACATGATCACTGTAATAAAAAAATGATTAGATAAAGTGCACACAAAAGTTTAAACTAAATTAAATTATTTTGTGCCGATCTGAGCAGTGTTGTGATCATAATGACAATGAGTCTTTTAAAAACAAAAAAGACCGAGGTTGGTATTCCAGATTTTGGGAAATTTGTAGCTAAAAACAAATTTCAGAAATAAGATCCCCTATAACTCACATTTTTAACATTTACAACCCATAATGAATACTAAGTTAATGAAACTACCGCCAACCCTAGACCACAATGGTAATTTTAGAATCATCTTTTAAAATGTAATAATTAATTGAAACTTTATATAATAACAAAACACAGAATATAAAAACTAACAACAAAAAGCAAAAATTGTTTTTTCTTATTAAAATTTAGCCGTCAAGCCAAGTACATCTGACTTTCTAGTTATTTGTTTAGGTAGGGTTTCCATTATTAGTACCAATGGTTATCACTATCTAATTCAATGATTAATTTTAAGTACAGTCTCTATAATGATAAGAATTTGCCCTACTTTACAATATTGTCAATAACCTAGAAATATTCTTATTCTATGATATTTCTCCACTTAAATAGAAGCTAATAATACTTTTAAAATTGGCAACATGATGAACGGTGTGCCTTAGCAAGGCTTTGTTACTATTACTCTTTTCTTAATTTTTTTTCACTCTAAAATAATATTTGGAAGCCTAAAACGAGCTTGAAAGAAGAATAAGAAGATATTGATGATCGTAACGAAGTGGAAGTAGAATCATAGTACGCTAACTTTTGTGTTGATGGTAATTATCACTAGAACTTGTATATTGCCATTTCTGTCGACCGATTTCATTTCCCCCATTTTCTATTAAAAATGATAGCCTTTCTAAGGACTGTCGGACCTAAAACACACAAAAAAAATTATTATATAAATACATTATTAATTTTGTTTATCACCTTGCTTATAACATAAAACAGCAACTTTGGCTGTGAACTTACCTTAGATATATGTTCTAAATTAGAGTTTATAAACGCTTGAACTTCACTAACAGATCTACAACAAAAAAATAAAAAATACAAAAAATAAAAATCAGAATGTATACAAATTTATAATAAATGGGATGTAATAAGAAAAATATGGTTTAATCATATTTGATGTAATTTCTAAAAAAAAGTCTTTAGTTTTAAAAACATTTATTTTTGGCCAATATCCCTTTATTTTGTAAATGGCGAACTGCTGCATTGTGTAAACTGGCTAACATTAGAAACAATTTATTTTTAAACTTTCAATTTGCTTCAAATGGTTTCAAATTCTATTTATAATGTAGATGTTTATCACTAACAATAAGATGCAAAAAGCTTGTTTTTCTTACCTTCCTTTAAAATAAGATTCGTCATTGTAGCCTTGTTGCAGTCTGGCTATCCTGAACAAGAGTATTGCAGCTGAGGCAAACAATATAACTAACAGTAATGTAGATATCACAAGTAGGAGTGTTGGCCTAGGAATTGAGCTCAAAAAATTATAGAATTGCGTGAAGCTTTGTTTTGTCGGTGCTGTTTGAGAAAACATATCATGATAGGATTTCACTTTGACAGCTGTAACAAAAAAGAAAAAGTATTTTAACCTCCTGAATACGACTGAACAAATAAATCTCAATTCGTTTAAAATTTGAGAAAATCATAAATTTAATACCTAGTTTGTGTTTTGCTCCTTTTGAAGAAATATCTACTGATGTGTTTGAAAGCTTAGAATCAAAATTTGATTCACTACCTGATAAACTTGATTCTTCATCCTGCAGAATGGGCATAGTCTGAATATTATTTTCCAAGTCTTCTTTCATCACTTCTTCAATACACTGAAAGTGAAAAAAAAGTTTAAAACAACTGAACAACCAACTTTTTTTTAAATTCAATATATATGTATTATATATACAATTTGATACCTCTACTTTAGTTGTGTGAGCATGAGGTTGGTGAGTGGGAGTCGGAGTAAGTGCTGCATTCCACACTTGAACCATAAGTTTATAGGTGCTGTCCCTTGACAACAGAGAGCCAAAAACATGCTTGTCCTCTTCTGTTGTAATACCGACAGCATTGGGAATAATATAAGCCGTCTTTTCTTTTGTAACCTTAAGCACCATGGACGTTGGAATGAGAAGCTAAAATAAAATTAATAAGTTAAATAAGGATTTTGCCATGTTTTCACAAGAAAGCTCACCTTGGTTACATATCCAAACACGTTAGAATAAAAAGCAAAATAATTTCGGGTAATGTACAAATGGCCTTGTAGTAAAATATCGGCTACAAGAGCACATGAATAATCTGAAAAAATTATTAATTAAATTTTGACTATTTTATCAACATTTAATTTTGGTTTTATTCATATTTTATTGTACAATAAAATATTACTACATGGTGTTGGAATATATTTAACTAAAAACGTCTGATGTTACTTACAATTTAGAACTTTTTCATCAGGTGGTACAGTCTTAAAATGCCTATGGAACTTTTTTTGTCTTGCTTTACTGCTGCCTGGTGTTGATGTAAGTATTTCGGCAGCAGCTGCAGCAGCAGAGGCACACTGCTGCGCATTGAGGTATGTAGATTCCCCACCCCCACCCTTGCCACCAGGGACCATCTCTATCCTAGAAAGATAAATTATTTTGTAAATCAGTGATAGGCATAGTTGTTAAAATAATTATACAATTATAAAAGATAATATTGAAACGTTTATATTTGTTTTCTTTGAGCATCCTGGTTTGCCTATTCCATCCACATATTTGTCTAACGTGTGACACAATGCAAGTATCTCCTCAAGAGTCTGACTAAAACTCGGCAGTTCACCCGGTAAGAGCAGGATGATCAGAGATAATCATGTTCATAAACTTAAGCATGTAGACTTTAATTTCTAAATAATTAACCAGCTTTACAATAATATTTTTGTTTTTATATGCTAATGCATTTTCCTATTTTTCTTGTGGTTCCTTCATCAGGATTTTGTGGCAGATGTTGCAACCTTACAACCAGAGCAAGAAAATTATGACCCGAAAACGCATTAGTAAATACAAACAAAAATATAAAAATAAACTGGTTGAAAAACCCAAGAAACATAAAGGAATTTACTTATTTTAGTTTCAGATTTACCCTTTGAAACATTTAACAAGTATACATATTAAATTTTTATGGTTTAAATAAACAAATTTTGCCAATTGCCAATCAACATTATTGAATTCAATATTTCCAATATTCTATTTTAATATTTTGTTGGTGCTAGAGAAAATTAGATCTGAACAAAAAATTTCCATATAAATTATGCATTTTACTTCTTAATTTGGAATTGGTTACTCAACAATTGTGAAAAACTGATTATAGTTCATGATTTAGTTATCAATCAGTTCAGGTTTTTAAATTGCCATATCTAATTGGACAAATTTCTTCTACTGTGTCACAATATATTTTGATGATGGTTTCTAGATGTCACTTGTCTACTTTGTATATTTTTATCTAGAAAAATTTCAAGTTTTTTACTAGCATTTTAGACTGTTTATTTTTAAAAGAATGCTATTTTGATTGAACCTTTCTCTCAATTTAGTGCTATGTAAGATAGCAGTTTACATGGAATCTTTATAAATGTTTATTTATTCTCGGCAATTTTATTTTTATTTTTCCTTGCGCACTGTTTTGGAAATTGTTCACAACAATTATTTACAAGTAAGAACAATTAAAGTACATTTTTGTTTGTCAACATCGGTAAACCCCATTTCACAATCCTGTCCTTGTCCGTCTTTATTCCTCTGTCTTCACTAAAAATCTAAACGCTCTCAGTTTTTCTCTCTCAGTTTATTTATTTTGAGAATAGTTCATTTTACATTTAACATTCCATGCAAGTTGTCAGTAGTTCAAAGAATTTCAAACTTGAAAGTAAGATTTCGTCTAAGTCACTTCTGCTACTGAACAAGGTGAGCTTTAGTACCCCTAGAAAGTCTTATTTACCCCATTTCTTATTTCAGCTTTATATTTTATTATTTCTCTTTATATCTGATTTGATTTTAACTCAATTTTCCTTGGTTAATTTTGAAAACAAGCGCCGTAATAATATCTGGTCCTCCGGGCCAGATTAAAAATTTTCTAAAATTGAAAAACAAAGTATGATAACATAACCTTATTTCGATTTTATATTTTATTTTAATTTCCTTGGTTATTTGTGCAAACGAGTGCTGCAACTGAATTAATCTTTTATTTTAGAAACTACTTATGGAGAAGTTAAATTTTTCTTTTTTGAATGAACGTGAATTGAATGTCTGCACGTGTAGGAAAACAAAATGGTTCAATATTCATTAAGAACTGATATTTCTTCTTTACGATGACAAACATTTTAACTTTTTTTACCATTAACTTTCATTTGGAGCATGTTCTTGGATAATTTATTTTCCGCGAAAAAAATGTAGTTTTGACGCTTTTAGTTAATCCCTGTTTGATGTGTAATACTTATGTAGATTTTTTTTCATGATTCTGTATTGAAAATTTTGTGGTAAAAGCACATTTATAATTAGACATAAATTAAATGCAACTGATAGGATTTTTGAAATTGAACTTTGCTTTTTATTTATTTAGAAATCGTGAGATGCGGTCTGGTGTGATGTAGGTTTCAGAAAAACATTTTCTTTATCGTGCCAACGTTTCGATCTTTATTGAGATCATCTTCTTTGCTTTTTATGTCATAATTGTTTGACTTTGAAAAAACCAAATTAAATCGAGTTTGGTTATAATCCTAGGGCCTAAATATTACAGTAAAATTATTTCGTAAAATTTTTCTTAGGAAAGAACGCTTTATTTAACAATCGCAAAACTTTCTTTATGATTGAATGTCCGGTTTTCAGAGAAAACTACTAAGAATAAGTCGACCGCGACTTTCGTTCCCTGCTTTGCAGATGTTCCTTGGCTCACGGTCTCGGAACGCAAACTCTATTATAGCCATTGTCGAAAAGCCCTGTTATTACTAGCTTGTCATTCTTTCCCTAAAAACAATCGGAAGATAGAAAAAACAAGTCGTCCCTTTAATCGACGTCCTTTTGAAAAAAAGAAAAAAAGAAAAATTGCAAATTTTTATTTGCTAGAAAATTGTTATTAAGAATTTTGTGAATTAGTAATGTTTCTTCGTACAAAAACATTTATAATGAATGAACTTTTCTGAGTATAATTTTTTAGTGTCAATAAATTATTAATGTGTGGTGATTAGTGACCGTTAATCGATAATTATTCAGAAATCGTGAGATGCGGTCTGAAGTGATGTAGGTTTCAGAAAAACATTTTCTTTATCGTGCCAACGTTTCGATCTTTATTGAGATCATCTTCAGAGCTCAAAGTGTTTATCTTCTGTGTAATTGTACCATTCTTGCGTGTCGTGTTGAGAGTGCCACGTTGGCACGATAAAAAAAATGTTTTTCTGAATCCTACATCACATCAGACCGCATCTCACGATTTCTGAATAATAATTATTAAACTCGAAAACTTTCGTAAGGTTTGAACTATTTTCAAATTATCGTGTTAACACTAAAGGTTAATTCTTGAATAAAAAAATAGAACAAAGGCAGTGAGGAAAAAGCTACGTCAATATTTATCTACCCACAGACATGTGATTTCTAAATAAAACACTCGTCGGTTACCATATTTTTCAATTTCTGCTAGTTGCCAGTAGTTGTAGTTGAAAAATTACCAATAGTTAGTTTTTAAATGAAATATCAAATACGATTTTAAAATGTAGGCTGGTATCGATTGTAAGTGCAGAGCATGGTCCAGGACATGAGGTCAATGGTTCCTTTTTACTGGAGGCAAAGGATCGCTCTAAAATTCAAAATATACTGCAATATCTTCAGATTTTTTTTAATGTATAACTGAAAAGTATTTCCTACATTGTAGTGGAATTTTATAATTAGACTACATAATTATTTATAAGTTTAATTTTCCACACAGATAATGAGCCAGTATTTCCGCCCAATTCACCCAAACTTACATGATGTCCGCCGGTACTCGATCAATCTCTTTAGGATACATCAGTGTGTACAAAATGTTCTAATGAAAGTAGAAAAAAATAATTAAAATCTTGTTTCCGATATCAAGTACACGCGAGCACTGGCGAACGAAAACGACTCGACTCGTCGAAATTCTATTCATCACTGAACTACATTAAACGTTTCGTAGAGTGGGAATTCGTCACAAGACTCAAAATAGCTGTGCACCCTTTTTTGTCACATATCCAACTTTTACATTAAATAAATTCTGGACCGAGATTTATTGTTAATTCGATTAAATGTATATTAATCGCCCAGGTCGTTTCCATTTCATTCATTCCATCCCTTCTCTCGACAACATTTATAAAACTACACTGCGTACTTTTATATCTTCTAATAGACATGAATTCACATGTATTCGACTCTCACTGTTTTTTAAAAACTATTTTCAATGTATGAAGAGAGGAAATTCCAAATCTTCTAAGGACTTAATTTCCTCAAAACTGAGATTTTTTCTTAATATGTTCTATTTGCCATCGCCAATAACCCTAATAATGGCCTAAGTGCCAAACCTCTTTAAAAGTGTTTTGTTGCTTTCCTCATAAACTGGTCTAAGTATGAGACATAAGATTTTTCCAAAGGTTCTATGTGCCATGGCGTATCAGCTAGTTAACATGGAACATTCGTACTTTCTAGACTTGAAACAAGCCTGTGACTATATGAAAAGTAAATTTTCCAATTACAATGGCTACTATGATAAATGTTTCCAAAGATGATCCAGGTTTTAACCAGTATAAGTCCACATTCAATGACACAGATTTGTGAAAACGTGTTAATGTTCTAAAAAAAGGGGCTAAACCTGATGATATTAAAAAAGTTTGTATGTCATTGATTCAGAAGCCATTCCTGTCGGATGTCGAGAAAAGATTTCTCTGCCACGTTGCATTTTTACCAGAAACTGCTAAAATTATTATCAAAACATTCTAAATAACTAAAACTTTATGAAATGTACCTGAGGAAAAAAGTAATTTTATTATTTATTTATTTAGAAATCGTGAGATGCGGTCTGGTGTGATGTAGGTTTCAGAAAAACATTTTCTTTATCGTGCCAACGTTTCGATCTTTATTGAGATCATCTTCAGGGCCTGGAATTTACAAACATTGTTTAAATTTAACAAATACAAGTAGGATGTGGAAAAGTGAATTTGTACAATGCAAAATATATTTTTTATATGTTCAATCAAAGCATTTCTACACACTCAAAGTGTTTTTTTGTGTTTCTTCTGGGTAATTGTGCCATTCTTGCGTGTCGTGTCGAGAGTGCCAGTGAGATTGTTATATGTAAACAATGTTTGTAAATCCCAGGCTCTGAAGATGATCTCAATAAAGATCGAAACGTTGGCACGATAAAGAAAATGTTTTTCTGAAACCTACATCACACCAAACCGCATCTCACGATTTCTAAATAAATATCGATTAACGGCCACTAATCACCACACATTTATTATTTATTTTAAGAAAGAGAGATGTGTACTTATAGTTATGTGTAACCGAGGTAACCTATAGGACCACGTTATGGTTGTAAATAATTTTTTAAATTTTTATATTATATTGTTTTATTGTTTTTAGTTAAC